GAATTTTTTTGATTAGGCCAGTGGATACGAATGAAGTCCAACAGTACGAGGCACAGAATAACATCAAGAAGAAAAAATGAGCTGTCACCGAGTGGTTTAAAGTATTGTCATAGCTTAAATGTAGCATGTATGTTATGACTTCTTGCTTTTCATGCAGAAATTGGTTATGTAATACTGTATAAATAGCACCAAATTAAATAAACGACTTAAAGTAGTCAAAAGTAGTGATACTCTGATTCATGAGATTACCATATTCCTACTCGCTGGTCTACAGAATATAAACTGTTAGGTCATAGTTGCTACTAATCGAAGCTGTATTCGTTAGGAATAGTCTAGTAAATATGTTTTGAACATCCCAAGGATTATTCAGCTAACTGAACCTCGTCATTCATAGGGTGACAAAGGGCCTTAGCTGGGGTTATAAACACCCCAAAACTGACCCGACCCGGGGGGTGACTATATAACTTTTATTTAAATGCTATTTGGACCCGAAATTATCATCTAGTATGTATTTTTAGTTGCTGATTACCAATCCAGTGTTAGATTACACAGATTACGTGACGTAGTCCTACATGCATATATTTTTTCATACCTACTTTTATATTTTTCAAATTCATGACTGTAATTGGTTTTAATTACACGGATTCTTGTACATGAACAAAATAAATTTAAATTATCTAACACAAATTTAAAATTAATATTCATATTCCAAAACCATTGTAAGTAAACGTTGAAAATAAAGAAATTTTATACTTACAAAATTATACCAAGGTGTTAGAAGTTTCTAAACACTATAGTACATTATAGCATATACTAAAACATACTACTTATAGTATACTGTAGCATATATTGTATTTTTAGGGAAAAATATTTTATTTTTAGTCACTAGTTCATGTGACATGATTTACGGAGTAGGTGACGTAATCCTTGTAATATGACGTCGAATTTGTTATTAGCCACCAAAAATACGTACTAGATGACAATATTGGAAATAAGGAGGAATTAAAAAAAAAAAAAAAAACTATCGTCACTTCGTAGATAGGGGCAGTTTTTAGAATGTCCATGCCCCAACTGGGGCCCCATGCCACCCCATAACGAAGATGAATTGACTGAATATTTCTTGGAGTCCTACAAACATTGTTTTATTGACATTAAAGTTGAAATAACAAGTTAAAATATTATTACACTGCATTTGATTCCATGTATCCACATTGAGGGATCTTTGAGTATCCTCTTCCTATCTCTCTACTTCCACCTTATTCTTTTTTTCCTTATTCAGTATGTGCTTCTACGGTGCTGCCCTCATTGTTTATAACTTCCTATGTTAAATCTTATAGAGCAAAATAGTTGAAGCTACCGCCGTCGACAGAAGTTCTTCACATTTTCATAAGAATATATGTGTTAAAGTGACAAGTATAGCGCTAAATGACAGGCGCATAGCGAATAGGTAATGTTTCTCTTTCCCCACGTGTGCGAGTCTTTCGTGCGGGCCTCTAGTACAAAACCCCCTTACAGATGACTTGGTCATCATCTATCCTACTGGGCACTATTTGCATGGAGCAGAGATCGTATCAAGCACAAAGAGGTCCAGACATTGTCCAGAAAAATTCCACTACTCGTCTCAAAAATCAAATAAATGGCATCTCGGGTACTCATACCATCAAAAAAGCCTAAGAAAAAAATCACATTTTTCGATGGGATTCGAATCCACAACGACGCTTCGAGTTTTTCCGGATAGGAGGCTCTCACGCTAACCACTACGTCATCAAAGCCACGCAGAATTTAAACCGTACATTATTATAACCATCCATGTATTATTTAACGTTCCTGCTTCCCAACCTCGAGCGCTCACTTGAAATGCAGACGCGAAAAGTATGAAGGTCTTTTATGATGCATTATGACTGTAATGTTGCTAAATATTTTACTAAGATACAATGATTCCAAGAGACAGCTGGGTTGTGCTTGAGTCGTTAACTGTGCCCTGCAAATAGTACCTAGTAGGATGGATGAATGAGTCAACTGAGGGGAACTGTTCACTACTAGGAACCCACACTAAAGACCGGTACGAAAAGAGAAAGAGGAAGAAAAATAGGTGATAGAGATAGGGATAGGATACGTAAAAATTTTCCAATAGGTATATCTAGAATCTAACATTTTTATCAAATTATGAAGGGTATTCAAAAGGTGCTTGTAGTTGGTAATTCCTGGTAATGCAACTTTAACGACTATGCGGTGCAACACTTCTGCCTCAATTATCAATGGGTTATGATAAATTTGGTCTTTACTGACTCGATCCTTCACATACAGACTTTGTACCCCTTATCATCATTTCGCGCAAAAGTAGCTATCAAATTACTCATATTGATGAAAATGTATTGAGGTAATGATGTCGGTAAGGCAAAAACTTAACACAAAAGCATAATTTTGCATTGCCCATAAAAAATAGAATAAATCGAGACAAGCGTTGAAAACGCAATTACAGAAGCAATGATAATAAAATAACTTGCATGGGTAAATTGAGAAAAGTAAGATCAAATCGAGTAAAAAACAACAATAAAATAAAAATAAGTTTCAGCCGTTTACGGTGCAGCAGCAGAATAATGGTGGTAATGTCAAAAATACAGAAGCAAATAAGGTACTCGTTTGGAAACCAAAATCGAAATATGTATAGAGAATCATAGCCACAAATGTAGAGATTCTTGAACAAAGTAACGCAGATTGAGCTTATAATCTGCAGAGAGTAGTAAACAGAATACAACGGCACAAAAGTGGACATTTTAAAACAGGATCGTATAGGCGGCGTTAGGAGAGAGAAAAATAGATAAAAACTTACTGGAAAACTTAATTAATTATATAGAGAAACCAGCCTTATTTCTATGACTTGGGAATAATGTAGAGCTAATAAAGTGAAAATCAGATAGAGTCACATTTACAGGGACATAGAAATAGAAACTCAATGATTAAGATTACAAGTCATAATAGTTAAAGACTTGAGCTATAGAACTGCAGAAACAATTATTCACAAGAAAGAGCAAAAACTAACATACATTAGGCCAGAGAGCTGGTGACGTAGAAAAAAAGTCTCGTGCAAAAAAGAATTTTTTAATCACAAAAAAGCTGAACCAAAATGCAGCAGTAAAAGTAAAAATAAGAGGACAAGAAGAAAATATATAGCGTCTAAAAAAATCACAAAAATATGGATCAAATTTTTTAGCAGAGACGTTTAGTAATAGCGATTACAAAGACACGTGCATCAGATGAAAACAAGAAGTACATAAAATATAGGAAGGTAAATAAAGGGGTGAATATATACACGCACCAAAAGAGACTTAAAGATGATTCAAATAGTATAATAGATCAATAAAAAGTTACATAAACAGATAGAAATTCACAAGCATCTATGGTAAGTAGCTTCTTTCATGCAACATAGCTGGCAAGATAATAAGATTAGCAAAAAAAAAAGGAACGAAGAGAGAAAGGAATTTAGGAGCATTGACAATAAGCCACATTTGCAAGTATGGAAATACAGCCCAGAATAAAATATAGAGTCGAAAACGTAGATACGAACAAACAGTTATATATAAATTGAGTAACTCGAAATGGGCGCAATAAAAACGGAAAAAAGGCACTAAGACAGAGATACTGGGAGAAAAGTGTAAAAATGAAATTTCATAGCTGTAAAATTGCAGGGTCAAATACTATTTAAAAAATGGTTTAAAGGTGACTCTTAAATTATTCAGAAAAAGCTATCAATATGCCAATATGCAGAGATTAAGTACCGAAAACAAACCTGTATGACTATTGTTACATTACTTTAAGTTTGCTTTCGCAGTCTTTGGATATAAATTTCTTCAAGTCATCAAATATTGAACTTTTATAACCGTTTACCTCTACGCGCTTCGTGCGATATACGTCTCCCTATGACAAGATATTTATTTTTTGCTTACTTTTAGTAATAAATCAGTTGTCTTGAATGAACTCCATCATTTTCCTATTTTTTTGCTTTAACATTTGTGTAAATACTTGTGGCTTTAAAAATTTTTGTATGATTTTCTTACATACCTATAATAATTATTAAATGTATAACTCAGCTTGATTGTTTCAAACACGGTTAAAACGACAATCGCAGCATTTACTGAAATAAAAAAATTAATGTTGCAACAATTTATAATTTAAAACAGTAATATCTCTAATCTATCTACGTTTTTAAGTTTTTATACATCTGTATTTCAGTTTTTTTATCTTGATTACTATATCTTTACCTTCGTGCCATTTATTTTTCGGTTTATCATTGTACGTCTTCATGTGTCACATTTTATCTTGACGTCTTTATCTCTATTAGTCTGTATTTGAACTTTTATTCTTAATTCTAGCAATACTCCATTCCAAATGTCTAATATTGTGCTCTTACCTTTGTACGTCTATCTTTATATATAACTCTATGTTTCAATTTTCACATTTATAATTATTTGTCTTTGTTTGTAAGTATATCTATATCCTTGGCTCAAAAATGTTATACCCTTTCTTTATAAAACCCTAATTTCGGAGGAATAAGGTTCTCAAAGTTATTAAGCAATGAAAATTAATTTAAATTGAAAAACCTAAGTAATTTTGTTTTAAAACATTGACTTCCAGGATGGTTGTTCAATTGAGAAAAAGGCGTGAAATGGCTCCCAAACACGCTGGATGGCAAACATGAAAGTTATCGTTAATTTGTGCATGCTAAACATACTTACGATCAGTTAACTTATTGTAATTAATGTAATATCTATTCAATTTAACTGATTTTTGTCATCGTAGTTTTAATCTTATCATATTGATTGATGAAAGTTTTCTATCTTAAAATCAAAAAATAATTAATGACGCTTACCGTGTATTTCCAATGAATTAAAAAACAAACATCGAACAAGATAACAAATTTATTTTGTAATAAAAGACACGAACAAAATTAAAAATTAATATTTTGCAAAACAATCGAACACTTTTATTAGAAAAGCAGCCTATTTTTCATAAATTTTTATAAATAGAAAATATAGCTCTACACTGTTGTCGAAGACGCGCCAAGTATTGTACAGCCGTCGAAGAAAATTCAGAAAACATCAATGATTAGGTGATAATGTGATAGACATAGTGATAGATGATGCCATGAACTTTGAGAAATATTTTTTTCCAAAACATTAAAAATACAAATAAGCACTTTCGTTGGACAAAAAAGGCAAGCTGTGTGATTTTTGTAAAAAAATGTTTATTCATACTTTTACAATAAAAAATCTTGTCGCCTATACGACCTAATAATAAAATGTTGTAACATTAAGCACTCTATAACAGCTCTTTCTTCAACCATTCATTGGCACAAGGAATCTCATTGTCGTTACAGTCACTAAAAAATCGCATTCTCACCCATACGTTTTAAAAATATAATTCATCATCACGAGTGATAAGGTTTGTTCATCCCTGTTCTCTAGGAGACTCGGAGAAACGCAGGTGTACCTACTCTGGTCAAATAAAGTGGATGCACATACATTTGCATCGTAACAAACCTATGGTATTATTGCCGTAAAACATTTTCTCAAAACCGTTGCCGCAACGAAACCTTAAGAGCAAACGATTCCAATATAATTAAATAACAACTAAAAGTGATGTTCTCTCATAATCTCATACAATTCCAGCTGCGGGATCACAAGCTTACCCATCAACGTTCAGTCACGCACTCGTCCAATCGCGTACACTCGTCTATATCCTACTTTGCAAACGCTCGGCTCTTGGCTCGAGAAGACGTTTAGCCTATCATTAATTATTATGCGTGTTTATGCTCTTTTCAACTTTGCCGAATCGCAGGCCGACATCGTATACGCCCAAGTGAAATAAACCTTATGAAAATTGTCCTGCTTACGCAGGCTTTTGTAATAAAAGTTACTGCGTAAGCATAAGTAACCATCGATCAGCGAAAGTAACCTCGACAACTAGTAAATGACATAATTAAGCTTAAGAATACAACGATATATTTATATACATACTATCTTACGAGTCTCAGGACTCACGTCACGGTGAAACGATCGAAATGTCAAATGGTTTTTATTTATCCAGAAATGCATACTTCGATGAAATGAACGCAACAATAACGTGCCTATATTACATACTAATCGCACGACGCACCTCTAAGAGAGAAAGAGATATTCGTTGACCGGCGGATCGTCGAAAATCAACATAACCCGTTCGTACCTCCGCGACCTTTCGCTCTTTCTACTGTAAGTACATACATTCCAAAACGCACGCAAACTCGAACAAACTCGCTGACGGACCAAAATGTGTGTAATACGTTGAATAATATCGTTTCGCATCGGTTGCTCTCCCGAGTTATAACCCGACGCTCCCTAACACTACAACAGCTCTACTTAAATCTACTCGCGTGATAGCATCATTTGTTTCATTTTTTCATCATCAAGATCCTCTATTGTAGCGATTAGGCTATAGGGCGAAAAAAGTACGCGAGTACAAACTATAAATATCTTAAAGACTTACACGTTATATACCTCATATCTCGCATAATATGCGCAAGTCGATATTGAGCTCGCACGTCTCTTTGAGCTTTGAGGACAAAATACTTTTCCACGACAGGTGTCTCGGCGAATTTTGCGCCCAGAATCATATGGCGGTCATCTTGGTGCCGAGCGAAAGGAAAGAGACAAATCGGGAGTTGTACATGGAAGCCAAGAAGGAAAAATCGGCAGAGGTGAGTCAAGAAAAGGTGCATCGCAATCGGCACATCTCACTCGTCGGCTGCAGCAGTGTCGGAGGAGGAGGAGGAGGAGGCCTGTACGCGCGTCCCCTCCGTCGTCCCTCAGTGTTGTTGGACGAGGGTGGGCCCGGAGCCGGGGTTCCGCCAGGGATCGGGAATGTCGTAGTGGGCAGGCACGGTGATGAGGGCGTCGTCGGCCGTCCGGCTGGCACTGCAGTTCTGGGGCTTCAGCCGGGTCGTGTTGACGCACTCGATCCCCAATTTTATGAACTCGAGCTTGTAGTTAAAGCCCTGGCTGCTGACGCGTATGATCGTGTGGAGCGGGACTTCCATGTAGGGCAGCTCCTCGGGGGTTTTGTCGAGATAGTAGCCGATTATGCAGCGCAGTATAGCCTGGTGCGAGATCACGAGGACGTTGTTGGCCTGCTGGAGGTCCACGATCACCGGCTCGACGCGCTGCATTGTGTCCACGTAGCTTTCGCCCCAGGGGTACCGGTAGCGCAGTTTGTCCTGGTCCCGCCACGCGAACTCCTGCAATGCCGATCGAGAGATCGGTATGGTTTTTACACTCTTGTTTTGGCTATTTTTGCGCGCGGGGCAGGGGAAAAAAAGAATAGATATCCTGCGGGCTCACCTGAGGATACTGTTCCTGCATCTCCTCGTAGGAGAGACCCTCGCACACACCGGCGTACAGCTCGTTGAGGGCGGCCACGTGCTCCTGGGGTGCTTCGATGCCTCGGGCCGTAGCTATGGTGCGCCGCAGCCTACTCGTCAGGACTCGCAGCTCCGGGATGTGCATAGAGTTGATCTTGGCAGCGAGAGCCTGCGCGTAGCGCTCACCACGAGCGCTCAGCACGGCGTCGCCGCCGATCTTCCCGAGCACGTTGTACTCGCTCTCGCCGTGCTGAAAGAGATTTCAGGGTTATTGTTTTTCCTTATTTATTCATCCAGAAAAGTGCGGTTCAGAAAGGGTCTGTGGAATCGTTTGTTTTTCCGGTTCCGATCACCAAACGAAGCAAAGGATGAAAGAAAATGTTGGCTTACCCGTGAAAAGTAGAGGGTGTGCGGCTTGAAGGACACGCTGGCTAGGTAGCCGAGGACACTGGTCTCGAGGTGCCCGGTGACCTTGTGGGCCGTGATCCCCATGGTGGCCGTGTCGATGCAAATGCGCGGGTAGCCGGGCTCGTCCATCGGCTGGTAGATCTTCCGGTAGTGGGCGATTTTCAGTCGCAGGTCCTCGGCCGCCTTTTGGGCCTCCATGCCCGCGTAGTCGCTGCTGTGGCGCAGTATTTCGCGGCAATTGGCCTCGAGCTGCGACGCGTCCTCGCAGACGCACTCAAGGAAAAGGATGCGATGGCCCAGTTGGGCCGCGAAGTAGTCGTGCACCTCGGCGCGCTGCTTGCGCGTCACCACCGTCGCGTCCAGGATCTACAAATACATTGGCACACGTGAGACTTTGTGTGTAGGTATATCGATTTGAAAGAAAAAAAAATTCTAAGGATGGCAGTAAAACTGAATAATGAAAAATACACGTACAGCGACGGTGTTGCCGGCAGCGAGCCAGGCCGCGCAGTCGTGCATCGCGTCCTGTTGTGCGAGGGATCGTAGAGCGACGTTGGACTCGTGGTCCGGACGGAAGAGCTCGTGGGACGCGTAGCGCTCGAGCCGCTTCTTTCGGTAGTCGCTCACTCGCATCACTGAAAAAAATAAAAAAATTACTACCGAGTAAAAACGAAAATACTTTGAAGCTCCTCTTTTAGGGGACGAATATAGCTTTTTTATCGACTGATGGTAAGTGGGTCATTTCGGAAGTAAATAAATTGCTGCGGACGTTTGACTTTCAAGGCGATATTTCCACAAAAACAAGCCAGGGTCGAGAGATCAATCACATCGTTGCGATTTCCCTAATCGTTGGGAACCATTTATCATCTCGATGACTTTTCCGTTCGATGTATCAATGTCTTGGACCTCTGGCGATTTCACGCTTGCAAAATTTGTTTTTGGCCAAACTTATCAACCTCAATTTTTGTGACGTAACGATATCTGCGCTTTCGGGAATTACATTGCCACTCATGGCCTTACGGCTTACGTAACGCTGGTAACTGTTACGTGCACGTGTATGTACAACGTAATGAAACGCGTACTCGTATACGTTCAACAGTGGGGGCAACGGACTCGAAGATAGATAAGCAAGTGTCGATCGTTAGTGTGTTCCATATGTGGCATTGATGATAACGGCATCGTTTTGAAACAAAAACCACGCGAAGAGACCCAAATCCATACAAAATGAACATAGTTTCCCAAAAACCGTTCCCATTACCCTTACCACCAGCCAAGTCAAAAATATGTGCATTAAAATACAGGTAAAAACTCACCCTTGGCGGTCTCGCCGTTCCAATTGAGCCGTCGAACGAGGCTGTGGGCGAGTTGGCTCTTACCCCTGGCCGGTAGGCCGCAGGTCACTACCACGACACCGGCAAACTTCCGAGGTGGTTTTGCGGCTCCCGTGGCCGGCGTCCTCACAGCCTTCTCCTGAGTAGCTTCTGCTGGAAATAGAAAATCCGGCGGTTAGAGGACAATTGGAATCGAGGCCAGTACGTTTGTGGGCGGAGGTGGGGGGGGATAAAACTGTAGTATATATAGGTACCCATTTCATGTGCGCTGTACGAGGCGAGTAAAGAGAAAAAGTTTCTAACAAACGGCCAAAGTGATTCCGTCGAAAACATAATATTGTCTGGTGAATGCTTCGGGGGTTCCCGTCGACTTGGATGTACATTACAAATACGACTGGTGTTATCATACCACATTTTTTGTAAATCCAGTAGTGGAAAAGTTTTCATGGCGTAATCTTTGGAAATTCATTTTTAATTTTTACCGAGTGCATATTATTTATGTATTAAAATACCATTCAATTTTAATTATATGCGTCTCGAGATCGTTATCGGTGACGTAGAAAAGCTTAATTGTCGCTCGTTACACAATGATTTATTCGAACACAAAAGATTTTCTAACTATATAAATAAACAACGAATTCGTTATATGTTATTGTATTTTCATGATGCGTTTGTTTTGACAGCTGTGGGTACCGATTTTTTTTTTCGAACGAGCGGATAAAGTATCGCCGATGACTCGTCTTATCAACACTCGACATCTCTTTTTAAATAATTATGGTCCGTTTTCTAATTTCATAACCATGATGAAGAAAAGGAAGAAAAAGACATAGGCATCATCAAAATTCGCGCAAACCATCCCCGGGGAGCCTTGTCACGAGTTCTAGAATCGTCATATAATTGGGCAACGCGAGTGTTCAAATATATCCGTGGTAGAATATATATATAGACACAACACACGAGCCACGCAGTCTGATTCCACCTACGAGTTGCTAACACTTTGGTACTTATCTCTCTCGACGATAGAGACACACAGAGATTATTCGAGCTCTCGGCTTCGTTGTCATTTTGGACAGTTCAATACACGATTTTCGAAACAAAATAGCGTTATCTTCCATTCTGTTTTTTCATTAATCTTTCTTATCCCCGAATCATCTGCAAAACAAAGAGACGAAGTAAAGAACCTTATGTGCGAGAGTTGATGCAGCACACCTTGTCAACCGTGGAATGAAATTGGCGCTATTCTCAGCTTCCCCGTCACGCAAATAGACAAACCAGCATCGGATATGCGCGCTGCGAAAATTCGACGACCGAAATAGACGTGCATCGTGTCCGTTGGCTTTTCTATTTTCGCGCGGATCTCTAGATAGATTTAAAGAGACACGAGACGAGCGAAACAAAATGTTATGTATATATGTGCACACGAAACACTTGGCTCGTGTGGAGGTGGACAGATGAGCCGACATTCAGCATCACATGTATACACACCCGTTGGCTAAAGTCCAGCGAGTTTGCAGGTGAAAATAGAGAATGTCTCTTGTATCGCTCGCGAAAACGAGTGCCACGGGCTTGGGAAAAACAGGTCCATCATCACGTGCGGGAATTAATAGTTCGATCGATGCTTGGAAGCCGGGGATGTGTACAAACAGCGCATACATATTTACTCAGGGACGGTTGATGTTGACGATGACGAGTTGCTATTATTAATGCGTGTGTATACGTACACAGTAGTCTCTAGTTCACCGAGACAATACGGTAACGACCGAAGGGACGTTTTTTTAACAAGGCCTTTTTGCACATTTCGATGTTTAAAGAAGACTTGGTCATTCGAACAATTTTCCCAAAAATGTTCTCTCATACAGGATGAGTTGTTCCTAGAGACCTATTTGCTACACGCATCAAGTGAACTGTCAAGCGTGCACTGCATGGCTATTTTTGTTCGCGCGAAAGAGCAGAGCCGATGAGCACGTGATCGTCACGTAGAGACCGCGAGACGTTGCCCAAACTTGCGATTTCATCGTTACAAGATACCAGAGAGCGCGTTATGCGGAAGAGTAGATCGAAACAAGCGAGTCTTGAGTATTTGGGGGGAGGGAGGGGAATGATCGTTATCAGATATCGTTATTTCAAAAAAAAGGCGGTTTCTAATCCCATGTTGGTAGATATAAGTTTTTTCGCTTACAAAAGGTATAAAATACGGTCGTCGCGAAAAATTCCCATAAAGCCCTTCAATACAACAACAAAAAAAAAAAATAGTGGATCACTGCTTACCGATATGGCACATGGTGGACGGTCAATGGCGTAAATATATAATACTGTATGCGGAAAAATTCACTTCCAAAGTACAAACGAGATCAGCAACAACAAAAACAGTCAATTCGTCCACGCGAAGCGCGTTGCAAGTAATACAAGACAAAATCACGAAAACTCCTTGGAAAAACGAACGTGTGACACGTTGCGACGTATGAGCGCCGTGAGGTCGCTTGAAAGAGACATATATGAGCGTTGTGTCTTTACGCAAGTCGATTGCTAACTGCCGGGGCTGCATCAACGGCGAGCCGATTTTATACGTCCAGCGCTCGATCGCCTGCGCGCGCGCGATTCGATGATCGGTTGCGTGTGTGTGTGTGTGGGGGACGAATAAATAAATTTTTACCACTGACGAAGAGCTACTTGTTCGCTCGCTTCGTGTATCTGTTTATCAGGTCTCGTCAATTCTTAAAGCCGATGACGATAATCACTATTTGAATTGAATCACTACTTGAATTTCTTTGTTGTTGTACGCATCCCCGTAGGGTGGACGAGTGCACGTATGAAATTAGATATGCAATAAAATTTTTAAATGTTACAAAAAATAAATAAATAAAAAACGCTTTGAGATAAAAGGCGTTCAGCAACGGAGGTTGCTTTTGAAATTTGAAAGATCGAAGGTTACGCTCGATCGGTTCCATACTTTAAAACCCGATGAATTTCATCCGAGCAGTTGTTTTCAATTCTCCCGATAAAATTATACGCTCAAGGATAATTTGAAATTGTAAGTTATTTCACTCGTTCGATAATGCAAGCGCGCATTGCAATAAATTACCTAACGCAGACCGAGAAAAATACTCCTAGGGAGCGTCTTACACAACCAGTAAATATGCCCCCCCCCCTTCGTTTGAATGGTCGAATTTTCCAATGTGAAGAAAAAAAAATACACAAACAATGTCATTAACTGCAGTTGTGTACAATGACGCTCGAAGCGTTAATCGAGCAATTACGCAAACGGCTATACATGTTAGAAAGCTCGAGGGTTGTTTACAAACATCGGTCGCACCGAGCAATTACTTATCAGTCTGTTGACAAATACGCTGCGCGAGAAAATCGTTTATGTCGCAATCCCAATGTGCCGAGAGACGCGAAACAATGTATTATCGCAATATCGCGTCCTGACAATAATCGTGGACAACACCATTATGCAGAAAGTATAGGTAGCGCTAAATAATTCCTATGGCCAAAAGAGAACTGACTCACTTCCGTTCGCCGCTGAATCGCATCGTTTTTTGCCTCTGATTAGTTAGTCACTTGCGATTCCACTTTGCGCTCCGAAAAACGTGACTCTGATAATAGACTCGGAGAAAGAAGAAGCTCAACGAGGAGGGGGGAGGGAACAATGGGCCTCGTGCTCCGACTCTTCCATCGTCGAGTGCAGCCAACGGATGTGTACTAGTCGGGGTGTTGCAGACGAGACTTCCTGTTATTGCCATCGGATTAAGTATATACCCCTCGTGAGTGGATAATATGGCAACGGGTCCGTTTGAAAAATTTCCGCGCTCCACGTTATGACACAAGCCGTCGCGCTTTATATTCTCTGTTTTTTCCTGTTTTTCTTTCGCTTCTTCGTGACCGTGAGTTTTTAGAATCCGTGAGAGCTTTTACACCTTTGCTCGGGCACCTGAGGCTTTGTACATTCAATATAATTTACTCGTCTACCTTTTTGTCTTATTTCAATTTTTATCTCCATTTTTCAGATTTTTTTTTTCTCTTCCATGTACGGATTGACATACAAGATGTCAATGAAGTTATAAACACTGGTTTATGTTAATCCAAAAATGTATGTATTAAAATTTTTCGTTCCTAGAGTACATGTAAAAGAAATTATTGATATTTCAAATGTTGATGATTAGCGCGTTTTCTAATGGTCTAATGGAGTATCACGTATTTGTACAATAAACTCCAAACTGTACAAGAACTACCAACAAAACCTCGATAAAAATCGATGGGGCATAAATTGTAAGCCACAGGAATACTTGGCATCTCTAAAAATATATTTTGCCTGTTAGGGCTGATAGTAATTGATATCGGTTAAAAACTAATGTTTTTCAGTTGTCATACAATACGTATACATATACCAAACGACTGAGCTGGTCAAATTGATACAAAAAAGAAGAAAAGTTAGCTTAACTATAGCCTGAGCTCCAATATTTTTTATCAGTACAGATATTATTTTGACTTTCCTTAAGAACATGTAGTTTCATCGTTACCCAAAACATGGTCTTAAAATTTTTTGACTGAAATAAAACTATATTGAACAAGTACACTTAAACATTATGGATTACGTTAAAATTCTAATCTATAAATCGCATGTGATACATTATCGTTACACAACATAACAGAGCATCACGTGCGCTATGAATGGTGAAAACATGATCTTTTTTATAGTATTTGTGTTATTGTGAATTTCCTGTTTGATATTCACGCTCAATAATATATTGTCAGCTCAATACAACTTGAAATTTTTTCAAAATCTTTTTTAGCATTGTAAATGGTATAAGGACGCGTTTTAATAGGATCAAAGTTAAATGTTAATTTTTCACAGATACTGTAAGCCAGCTATTTTATTTAATAAGTATTAAAAACTAACTTTTAAGCCAAACTAATAACTCTCTTCTTTTATATTTCTTGTTAAATACTCCCATCAATTTAAGAGTAAAAGTCATACAATTAAAAAAATAGATTTTCACATCGCTGGTTACCCCTTTTATCAACATCTAGTCTTGAATTTTCTTCCCTGACTAAACCACTGTTCTATAAGGTCAATGACTTTATATTTAGCCCTATTTCTGTTATCTATACGGTCTGGGTTATAATCACGTATATAGATAGCGTTACATACG